CCAGTTCTCTGTAAGGAATTTTAAATGTGTGGTTATGGAGTTCTTAGGTTCCTGATGACTCATACTTTGGCCAGTTGCTAGACAATCCAGTTTAAATGGCAGTTTATCATGATCCCAGATCAGCAGCTGGAGTTTCTGGAGTGTACATTTTCCTTCCATTTATGGTAATAAAGGGAGAGACTTTCCAATCACCTGAGAGGTGTTTCCTTGAATGTATTTTGTATGTACAGATTTGGGCCTCTTATCTATTCATATTCTTAAGACTATTCAAAGTTGGCCTGTTTCTTATTAGCACCCTGGAGAGGTGAACAACTTTGAATGCACATCTGCATTTCAGTGGCCTAGAAAAGAATGGGCCATGCTTTTCATGATAAGAGCAAGTACATCTCAGAAGAAGAAGTCTGTAGGAATAAGTTATGAGAAATCCTGGGAAGTACCCTGCCAACTAAGAGGAACTGGCTATGCCCATGAGAAAGTCTACCATAGACTCAGATTGGTGACACCCTGGAAAAGAACATATTAAAAGTTATACTTTCACCCTCAAACACAGCTCATAACCTATTCTAGTTTTCTAACCAGATCCTTAATATTTAAAACAAGCAAATATGTAAAAATAAGTAGAAACAAAACTGTACCGTGTTCAAGACTGACATAATAGTATACAGGTAAGGGATATGGGCCCTGGAGTCAGTTCAGGTTAGGATGTTACCACTTGCTAGCTGTATGGCTTAACAGCAGATTATTTCCCTTCCCTTTGCTTCTGTTTCCCGTGTGTAAAAGAGATAGTCCAGTGTGTCTTCATCATAGGATTTTGTGATGATTAAATAGAGCGGTAATTCACATAAAGCAGTGAGCAAAATGCCTCGTGTATATTAAGTGCTAATAAATGTTACCTAACAGTAGTAGCAAAGGCAGCAGCTACATGGCCACTCTGCATGCTGTTCCCTCCCCACATTTAGTGCATAAGAAGGAATAATCTCTTCTCTTGAAGTTACACACTGAGACAGTTTTAGAATCCCTGATTTTAAAATATGTCTTAACAAAACAAAGCCTGGAAGAGCCCTTAGGATCAGCTGGTACTCTTCCTTCATTTAAAGGTGAGAAAAATAAGGTCATAACATCAAGGTTAGAGAAGACTCTAGGTCTGCTGGTTTACATTTTTTTCTTTTTTGCTACATGTTGCTGCCATCTAAATCACAGAATCATGTGTCCCTTTTCATTCTTAATTAAACTTTTACTTCAGAGAAAACACTTTTTTCTTTCTACTTCTGTTTGAAAATTTTCTTAAATAGTTTTCCAATTATTTCTGCTGAAATTAAAATGATTTAAAGCAAATTGAAATATGCTTGATTATACAAGGTCCAGCAATTAGGTTCACAAACCATCCTAGAAAAAGTGCTACATTCCTCAATGCTGAATATCACTATGGTCACCTTTGAGACTTGGGAAGCTATGTACAGTCAGCAGCGTCTAGTCCACCCATCAAAGCAATTTTGGAACTCTTTTATCTGGAATATAAAGGTCATTGTATTACCCTTGATGTCCTGAATGTCATCAGAATGTCTTCCTTCCTGCATTTCCTTTATCTTCAGGTAAAGAAAAAAGTCACTGGGGGCCAGATCAGGTGAGTAGGGAGGGTGTTCCAATACAATTATTTGTACAGTGCTGCCAACATAAGTGCATAGTGGAAGTTCGTGAACTCAATTGTCAGACCTCAACAAATAGCTACAACAGCTCTAATGGCCATTCCAGAAAAAGAGTTCCAAAATTGCTTTGACAGGTAGACTAGGCACTGGTGTCAATGCATAGCTTCCCAAAGGAGGTGCTTTGAGGGTGACTGTGCTGATATTCAGCAGTGAGGTATGTAGAACTTTTTAGGATAAGTTCACGAACTTAATTGTTGGACCTCATACACTGTTATGAAACAAGGAAACTGGTAATAGTGGTTGCCTTTGGGAAGAGTACTGGAGTAGAAGATATTAGTTTATAGTGGTATCTGACAAGATATTCCTGAGACCTATAAATTATGGAGAACAGAGTAATCACAGGTTAGTAGAATAGAGCAAGGAAGAAAGTGGTAACAAGTATTTGTAGTTTATTGAAACTCAGGAACTATATAGATTCAAAATTTTGAAAGTATCCCTTATAATGTCCACACTCTTACTACACTCTGTCCACATTGCTGGAACCAAATAGACTTGAATAGAGAGGAATACTTTGGTTTCATTAGGGTGAAGATTGCTCCTATAATTTCCATTTTACACACTGCTGTGTCTGACTTAGTGGATGACCCTGGATAAATTTCTTGACCTGATTCCTCATTTGTCAGTGGATGGAGTGAGCTCTGTTCTTACTTTGTACATAGGTTTATTGCAGCATAAAATGAAATGATGTAAAAATTTACTCATCTCTGGGCCAGACCTTATTAAAAGACCAGGAGTTTAACTTGAGCTCTTAGGAGAGAAGAGAAGAAGTATTTTTAACAAGTGTGTGTTCATGCTAGGCTAGATTGCATGTGTACTATTCACCTCTCAGAAAAGGTAGGCCAAATGACTACACTTTGCTTTGGACATTTATACATTTTCTCTATTGCTTGTGTGTGTGTGTGTGTGTGTGTGTGTGTGTGTGTGTGTGTGTGTTTGTGTGTTTTGGA